TTTTTTTTTTTTTTTAAGGAAAGCGACTGCAAGCTGGAACTAGTAATAGGCCCCAGGGCCTGGGAGGTTGGGTAAAACTTTTACTACTAAATTTTGTTGGCCCAACGAAGGGCCAGTATCTAAACTAGGCGCGTTCACTCTTGATCAGCAGCAAGAAATAGGCTCAAGAATCGGCCGATATTGGAACTTTGAAAATGAGGGATTAACAATACTACAATAGTGTAACCCCCATCTATCAAAAGGTTGTGCCCACTGACGTACCTTGCCTCATCACCCGCCAAATAAAGGTGTAACTGCACCAAACCAGAAGTCCTTCTTCAGTCTGTATTTGCACTCTGAATTGACCTGCAAAGCCCCGAGGTGGATCTTCGGGGTAGACACTCCGATGCTTAAATCAGCAATAATCGGGGCTACCTTTGGAGCGGAGAAGCAAGGAGCTTAGGGTTGGTTCCAATTACCTTTTGGCGTGGCCCTTAAAGGGTATTTATATGTTCCGATGAAGAATCCACGCGGCATGCCAAATAAGATGCCAAGCGAAATATCCAGGATCCGATATGTATCTCCAAGCAGTTATTTCGGGACCGGAAGATCGAGCCAAGTAAGATATTCGGGATTTGATGTGTATCTCCAAGCAGTTATTTCGAGACCGGGAGATTGAGATATATTTAGATGCAAGGATGTCCATCGTAATAGCTGTGTAGTTGTCCGAACGAGAAGCTGTGGATTTACTCTTTACTCTGGTTGTAAAGGAATTACTATCGTCCGTCCGAGGTTGAGCACCTCGGACCTGCTCTTACAAAAGGGCAGCATATGCGATATCTTCTGCCTTAAGGGTCACACCCTTAAGATTGGCAATCGAATCCAACATCTTCTTGAGCTCCTCCAGATTAAATCTATTGACAGTGATAAACAATAGTGTTACGAATTTAAAATGATGGTTCAACGGTTAAAATTTTAAAATTTTAAATTAAAAACTTTATATTCTAATATTGAATCATGTGAAAAAAGATTTGAGAATAAAATAAAATTATTATTTTTTGTATAACTTATAATTAGATGTATTGAAAAAAATATATATAAAAAATAAAAACATGTCGTTGCGACCCCATAGGGAGATAAGCAGTTAACTCTAATCCCAAATTGCCTGAGCTCAACTGCAGCATTTTTTGTCAGTCCCACAACAGCATGCTTGGAAGCAGTATAAGCATAGGCGCCTGTTTTACCTATAGTTGAACTTACGCCGGCAGTGGAGATTATGCAGCCGCTTCGAGCAGGAACCATGATCCGAGCTGCGTGTTTGATGCCAAGGAAGATCCCGGTCACGTTCACACTAAGGACACGCTCAAAGTCGGATTTTTCCTTATCAATTATGTGTGGCTTCATCTCGCCCAAAATGCCAGCGTTATTGATCATGATGTCTAGTTTGCCATAGATGGCAACAGCTTTGTCCACAGCGTGTTGGATTTGTGATTCATTGGTGACATCGCAGTGGAGGAAAATGGAGTTTGATGGGTCGATTGACTCACAGACTGTCTGGCCTAATTGTTTTTAGATGTCAGCTACAACTACCTTGGCTCCATGGGGGGCAAAGATTCTGGCAGTGCATGCGCCAACACCGCTGGCTCCTCCTGTAATCAGGGCAACCTTCCCCTCTAGCCTGCACAAAATTGACAATTATATACTTTCAGTAAAGCTATCATCCTTAACTATATCCATCCAGAATAAACAAGAAAATACACCTTTTTGCGACAGCAGAGATAAACGAAGCCATTGCTATGATCACAACTGTGAATCTTAGAAAGAAAATTTAGTGAAATATTGCTATTAATTCAACTTATCATATGCAACTCGATTTATATATATAGGGAAACAATTTTGGTATGAGAACACTTGGTGAAAGGCTATTGGTTTCGGTGCATTAGAGCAGTGGAGAATTCGTTCTTGTAGCAGGGAATTGTAGCTTGCTTGCTGTTTGCCTTGGGTGCATTAATGAGCATGCCGTTGCTATGATCCCAACTCTGCATTTTAGGACCTGCTTAGGTCCAGTATTACCTACTTTAACCGAACTGGGCTTAAAACCTTCAACAGTTTTATTTATTTATTTATTATTATTATTATTATTATTATTTTGTTACAAGAGAAATTCGTGTGCATTAAAAACATTGGAAAATGCAAATAAATAGTTTATGTCTTTTAAAATGATATACTTAAAATATTAAGTTGCATAAAAGTATTGTAAATTCATAATATAATATATTTTTATATGTTTTATTTTTTATTTAAAGTTTTATATGTAATATTATATATATTTATTTAATATTATATTATAATTATAAATTTATAATTTTATATAATATTAAAATATAACCTTGTTGATATCTGGGTTTTGGATTTGGTTGGACCTCTACCAGGCCCTCTACACAGTGAGCCCAAGAGCGACTCTAGCAAGTAAAGCATCTCAGATCCACTCTAACAAGCAAAGCTTCTCAGATCCGGTCCAAAGTCCAAACACAAAATTTCGGCTTTGAAAGCCTTCTGTTTTGTGTTTGAAAAATTATGTCTTGTCATTTTTTTTGATGGATCAATCGTGCGCAGCTAACAAATGAGTTTGCAGGTCACTTGTGAGTTGTATATATACATATATATTATATATACGGGAAACTGGTTTGCAGCCGGTATTGCAAATTTTTGGGCGGAATTAAAACAGTGCCATTTTAATATTAAACACATGTTTTGGGCGGAAATTGTTTTGGGTTCTTTTTTCCCTAGTTTTCCTGCACCATCCTCGCCTGAACGCTCTGCCTCCCTTTTTCCCTATTTCATCCCCTCCATCAAACATAATCCCTATGATTTATCTTTCTTTATGTGTGATTTCATCCCCTCCATCAAACATAATCCCTAGTTTTCCTGCAAGCTTTGAACTTGTGGTTGGTAACTAGTCAAAAAGTTGAAACTGAAATGCATTCAGGATTGATATTACATGGCCATTAGCATAACAAATTTTGATCATCTACAGGCACAGGATGTAAACCTTGCAATGGAAGCTTCAAGGAAATCCCGGCTAGCATTTGCAGCTACTAGTTTGGGAGAGGCCAAAAGTGAAGAGATTGTATCTTCTGTGAAATTGGCTCTTGATTTCAACTTCCAAGACATAGAATGATTGCTACATTTAATACGTGTGGCAATGGAGGCCATTAGCCGTTGAAAGAATCATGTTGGCAAGGATGATGTTATCTATGGGAGGAGAACTTCTTTTAATTGCATATCTGCTAATATGAAGTTCTATGGAGAAGAGGAGAAGAGGCTACTTGGGTTTTCGTGCATCAATTCTTGATACTTACCATTGAGAAACCGGCCATCATGTTTTCCCAAACTCACTGTAAATGTTTGCAACACAAGATGGAATCTGGTGCTCTTAGTTTATAGAAATCCAAATTCAACAAATACCCACTTGAGTAATCCATCGAATATCATCAAGTTATCAAAATCCCCAAATTTGTCTTTCCCTCAACACCATTCCCCAATCGACAATCACCCAATCCCACTACCATACCCACAAGATCTTTCTCTTCTCCGACTACATCCTCCTCGGTGCCGCGTCCAGTTGCATCTTCTTGATCCTTTCCCTCCGCTTGAATTAGGGAAATCAAAGGATAGCCATCTTTTTGCCGGCAACTTCTTCGAAATAGTCTTCAGGCCTCCAGTGAAGTGGTTGAGTGGCTATGGTGTCGGAAGGATGGAAGGAGAATTTGCAAGAAAGGGTTCTAGGATAGAGGGCTTTTGAATGCAGAGTAATAGGGGCAAATCAAAGAAGAAAAGGGGATGAAATGAGACAGGAGAACAAGGAGAAATCAAAGAAGAAAAAGGGATGAATTGAAATAGGGGAACAAGGGCAAATCAAAGGAAAGGGCTTTGTCGAAGATCTGGAAAGTAGAAATAGAGGAAAGTTGAAGACGAGGGATGAATTGAGACAGGAGAACAAGGAGAAATCAAAGAAGAAAAGGGGATGAATTGAAATAGGGGAACAAGGAACAAGGGCAAATCAAAGAAGAAAAGGGGATGAATTGAAATAGGGGAACAA